CTTATCCCCATGCAAAATTTCGTAAGGATCGGGCCATAAATGCGATATGTATATGATATCCTGATATCCTAACTACTTAGTTTTGTTAGCTGTAGAAATATTACCAAATGTTTAATTCAAAATGAAAATATGCCAAAAATATGACAAAATTGAAAAAATATGAGAAAATGTTACAAAACCAATATTTTCATCTTTAGAGAGATATTTTTATGCGATTTTTAGACGTTTTTTCTTTCCTGTCAAGAGGTCATTCTGAATTAATGAGAACTGTCGAAATCAATTCAATCGTTCTCGACATATAAGAGATCTTTCAAGCATATCTTCTTTGATAGACATATATATCGCACATATTTTGCTATATATCCGATTTGTTGGATGTTAACATAAATGTAAAGGTCAGAAGAAACCTTGTCATGGCTTCGTGATTTCGCCGGGATTTAAAAAATTCACGGTTTAATGAAAATTTTTGATTTTTTTCAACACAAAAGACATGGCCTATTTTACCCGCTAATTATCATCCGATGACCACCCAAATTGGTAGACTTCTTCCCCGCCCTAAACTCTAGCTACATGCGAAATTGGTCTATAATTGCGACCTGTATAGCTAGTGCAAAATCCGACATTTTTTCAGTGTTTGGTCCATTTCAACCCCTAAACATTTGGCGATCATCTCTAAAAGAAATAGGGTTCTATTCTGACTTTAACCCCACCTCCATACTAAATTTCGTAAAGATCGGGCCATAATTGCGACCTGTAGAGTGATTACAAATTTACATGGACAGACGGACGGACGGACATACATAGCTAGATCGACTCAGCTCGGCGAGATAGGAAGATCCATATATACTTTCCTATGTGGGAAACCAATATTTCGTGGTGTTACATAATTTTTGGCCCAATCAAACTTATAATACCCCCAACACATAGTGTTGTAGGGTATAAAAATGTCTACCTTTTCCCCAAAAAAAGTCTTCAAATCTTTCATTTTGAATTTTACCGAGGAGGATATTAGAAAAACCAAGGTTAAACCCACATTCAATTTTACTGTCCAAAATGTCCTCAATATCAAATTTCAGAATTTCATCTCTGTAAATTCTCTCATTACCAAATTTAGTAACATTTAGTATCTTTCGTATAATTTTAGTGCTCATCTGTAGAATATCTCAATCCTTGATACCAACAGTTATGCCAACATAAAATTTCACTCTTTCAGCTCTATTCCTTCACCCAACAACCAATTTAGTACCACTTGTTCTTTTCGAATAATTACAGTACATCCCCTCCACATCTTAACTACAGACACTAACAGTGACATCTATACCAAAGTCCATGATTTCCACATATCCATATTTCAATTTCAGATACCAACAGAGATCTTTATATACAATTTCAAGATTCCAGTTCTATCTCTTTACCCAGTACAAATATTTAGTACTTTTAGAGTAACTAGAGTACGCATTTCCAAACCCACCCATTATTTCAGATCTATTCCCTCATACAATAATAAATTTAGTACGGTTTAGTACTTTTTGTACAACTATAGTACACAACTCTATATCTCAATTCCAAATACTCCCAGACGCCTCAATATCAAATTTAAGGATTACAGTCTTATCCCCTCACCCAATACCAAATTACCATTAAGTTCTCTTCGTGCAATTGTAGTACACAATTCAGAAACCACCTCCAAATCTCAACATCAAATACCAACAGTTATTTAAAGACCCAATTACAGAATTTCAGCTCCCTTCACCCAATACCAAATTTAGTATAATTTAGTACTTTTCGTACAATTTTGTTACACATTTCCAGAAATACTTCCATATCTCAATTTCAGATATCAACAGAGATCTCAATATATTAAATTTTAGGATTCCAGTCCTATCCCTTAACCCAATACTAAATTTAGTACCATTTAGTAATTTTCGTACGAATATAAGACGTATTTCTAAACCGGTGCCTAATTTCAAACATAGATACCAACAAATACCTTAATATGAAATCTCAGAATTTTATCTCTATCCTTTCAACCAATTCCTAATTTAGTACTTTTTGTACAATTATATATACATAATTCCAAAACCACCTCCAAGTCTGAATCCCCCACACCAACAGAGACCTCAATATCAAATTTTGGGATTCCAGCTCTTTTCCTTCACCCAATACCCAATTTAGTAATGTTCGAACAATTACAGTAAGCATATCCACAACGACCTCCATAACTAAACAACAGACACCAATAGTGATATCTATATCAAATCTGAAGATTCTAGCTCTATCCCTTTCCAAACCACCACCAAATATCAAACGTAGATAACATCAGTAATCTAAATTTCAATTTTTTTTTCTATCTCTTCACCCAATACCAAATATAGTACCATTAAGTACTATTCGTACAATTGTAGAACACATATCCAAAAACCACTTCCAAATCTTTTCTTCAGATACCAACAGTTATCTAAAGATCAAATTTCAAGATTCCATCCCTATTTCTTGACCCAACACCAAATTTAGTACCATTTAGTACTTTTCATACAAATATACAACGTATTTCCAAGCTGACGCCAAATCTCAAACACATTTACATTTGTAAACTTTTAGTACACATTTCCAAAACCACCTCCATATCTCAACTCCAGATACCAACAGAGACCTAAACATCAAATTTGGGGAACCCATCCCAATGCCAAAGTTAGTACCATTTAGTACTTGTCATACATACATAAATCACGTTTCCAAACTAGCGCCAAATCTTAACCTCAGATACCAACAGTTATCTAAAGATCAAATTTTAGGATTTCAGCTCTACCACTTTACCCAACGCAAAATTTAGTACAATTATGGAACACATTTGCAGAACTACCTCCATATCTCAATTCCAGATACCAACAGAGATCTCAATATAAAATTTAAGGATTGTATAGTACTTTTCGTGTACTTTTGTACACATTCCCAAAACCACCTCTTGGGTTTGTGATAACCCAACCACAAATAGGGACCCGAATACAAACTTTTAAAATTCCAGCTGTATCTGTTCACCCAAAACCAAACTGTATCAAATTTAGTACTACTTAATACAATTCGCACAATTAGTACAGATTTCCAAAACTACATATCAAACTTGCTTTCCAATCTGGATTATTATACCAAATTTCATGTTTTTAGCTCCATCCGTTCACATGGTACCATTTTAGCGCTTTTCGTAACCTTCATTAAAACCAGTAAAGAAAGTCTTAAAGTCGGGCGGGGCCGACTTTATGATACCCTACACCACTTTGCTAATTAAGTAGAGCTCCACATAACAATTAAAAGTTTTTATGGGAGAATTCAATCATTTGGTGCACAATTAATTTGAAATCGGATAAAGATATATATGGGAGCTATATACAAATCTGAACCGATCTCGATAAAATTTGGCAAAGATATTTCTGAGCTGTATTTGATGTATTTCCCTGAATATCGTTGTTACGGAGTGCATATTACAGTTGTGGGTAACAAATATAACAAATCGGATGAATAATATATATGGAAGCTATAGCTATATCTGAACCGATCTTCACCAAATTTGACATACTAGCTTCTAGACTCAATTCGGTCGTAAGTGCCAAATTCCATCCCATTTGGACAAATATTAGACGTTTGGTGCACAATAAAAGGTAAATCGGACGAAGTTATATATGGGAGCTATATCCAAATCTGAACCGATCTCGACAAAATTTGGCAAATGTATTTCTGAGCTGTATTTGATATATTTCCCCAAATATTGTTGTTGTAGAGTGCATATTACGGCGGCGGTGGACAAAAATAACAAATCGGATGAACAATATATATGGGAGCTATAGCTATATCTGAACCGATTTCTATCAAATTTGGCATACATATTTTCAGGCCTAATTTGGGTGTATATGCAAAATTCCATACAATTCGGGCTGATATTACACGTTTGGTGCACAATAAAAGGCAAATCGGACGAAGATACATATGGGAGCTATATCTAAATTTTTACCGATTATCTCCAATTTCAATTGGGTTCGTCCTTGGGCCAAACAAATGATCTGTGCAAAATTTCATCTGGATCGGGCAATAAATGCGACCTGTACTTTGTTTACAAAAATACATGGACAGACGGACGGACGGACATGCATAAATCGACTCAGAATATGATTCTATGCAGATCATCAAAAGGAACTATTGGTCTATCTCGTTTCCTTCTGCCTGTTACAAACAAATGCACATAGACATAATACCCTGACCACCTTGTGGTGTAGGGTATAAAAATCTTCCGGTATAACTATCCTGCACTCCATCAATGATTCTCATTCAAAATTTCAGAATTCTATCCCATTCCATTTTTCCAATACAAAGTATTGAATTTTTTGTACATTGTAGTACGAATTTCCAAAAACCCGGCCTTATCACACGCCTACGCACCAAGACTGACCCCATGCAAAATTTCAGGATTAGCTTCAGCCGTTTCGTCTGGGAGTTCATTCTCAGTTAGTCAATCAAATATTTTACTACTTCTTATATATTTTTAAATTATTTATTTATCTGATATAAAGTGAAAGGATTTCTAGAAATCTTAATCCAAAAATTTACAAAAAAAAATGTGAAGGAGGAGAGAGAGAGAGAGGAGTTAGGTTACATTGTGATGTAAACTTCCAAAACTTCCATATTATATCTACTTCACTGCCAACAAATTATTTGGGTATAAACTTAAACTAATTATGGAAAATATTCAAATACCACGAAGAAACCACAAAAAAAAAACAAAGTGAAAATAGAACTCAACCACAAATGTGGAGAAAAAAATACGAATTTTATAGTAAAAGTCACTACGTGAAAGAGAAAATGCAGCAAAAACTACATCAAGCTGCTCCCCTCCCACTTCTTCCATAACATGAGTTGAGGAAGTAAGATTCTATGATACGGCACGTTTTAGTTCAAGAAGCGAAACAAACAAACGAACAAAAAAACTCGGTTCAATAACTTAAACTAACCTTGATAAGGCAAAGAAATACCTTGCGGTGACAATTATCCTTGGCATCGTCAATCATCTTTCAAGGCGTCGGATGAGCATAGATGGGTTGGGTTGAATGTCAGGAGCAGCAACAGATTGTTGATTGTTGTTGTTTGTATTGTTGATATGATGTTGCTTTTTTGTTTGTTTTGCTTTTATTACTTTTATTTTTTTTTTAACTACAGCGATTATTTTTATTTACATGGTATTTTTATCGATTACATCGATACTGATAATTTTATAAAACACTTTTAACATTTTTGATGTTGTTATAGTTTTAATAAATGTCGGGATAATTTTAATAATTTGTTAAACTTTAATTTAAATTTGTAGAGGATTTTAAAATATTTGTATCTTTAGTTTAAAAACTGGCTGAAAAGTCCTGGTATAGAAACTTCATGTAAAATATGTTTATCTAACCTCTATATATGTAATATTAAGATCTTGAATTGTCATCAATATTTTACAGCAACAATTTGAAAGCACTTTCTGACAACGCATCGTTATAGAACACCAAAAAAAAAACACATGTATTTCGCAATTTTTCTCTATCTCATCAATTTTTCGAAGAAAATCAATCCGCTCCGAGACAAAGTTATACTGGACAAAGGTAAAAAAATTGTGAAAGACAATTTTTAATAAACATTTTTTTTCTGACTCTGGAACATACAGATTGAGATAAAAAACATGCAACAAAGTCAAACGCCATAATTTTTAAATTTTATTGAATGAAAGCAAAAAATGTCGGAAATAGCATCGAATTTTAGAATAAGTTTAGATTTGTTCGAATTGGTCTCCTTTGGCACGAATTATGGTCTTCAAACGGCCAATGAAACCGTCACACGCTGTCCGAATGTTGCTCTGCGTTATTTTGGCCCATTCCCGGCGAAACGCTTGCTTGAGGTGATCGACACTTGGGTATTTTTTAGTGATAACCTTGCTTTCCAAAATACTCCAATGGATTGGTATCCGGAGATTTTGGTGGCCATTGTGCACTGGAAATGAAGCGAGTTACCTCATTTTGTAACCATTCTTGGGTGGCGCGTGCTGAGTGCGATGGTACTGAGTCCTGTTGGAATGTCCCAGGTCTGCGGCCAAAATGTTAGCGTGCCCAAGGCTCTGATATACCCTCCAGAATATTTTCTCGATAATATTCGGCATTTATCCTGATGCCACAGTCGATTAATACGAGCGGAGAGCGACCATCGGCAGTTATGGCGACCCACCTTCTCATGGCCAACCGAAGGTGCACATTTTCAGCTGACCTCTTTGGCAAGTAAACACGATCATTTTGTTCGTTTACAAACTGCTGGACAACGAATGTTTTCTCATCGGAGAAAACCAAATTCGGCAGTTCACCACATTCGGCCAAGCGAAGCAACTCTTTAGCTCTTTTGAGTCTAGTTTCTTTCGGTTGCAGTGTAAGCTCCTGCACTTTTTGGAATTTCAATGGTTTCACCCCGAGCTCATTTTTCAATATTTGCCGAATGGAATATTGCGAGATGTTCAGCTCACGAGCCATTTTTCGGCCACTGCGACGCTGGTTTTGATTATTTCTTTTCGACCCATTTCTGCTGATGTTACTGTTTTCTTTCGTTCACTTATTTGACGTCGGGCTACGCTACCAGTATCCCGGTAACGAGCGATGGTACGAGACACAAAAGATTTATTCACATTTAAATGCTGGAGTGCTCTAACGAAAGCCAGTTGTGGTTTTCCAGTCAAATATAATAAAATCACACTATCACGTTTGAATGCCATCACGAATAACTTTTTTCTGGAAAATTCTCACCAAATGCTTTTGTGATGAGCCCGCTTCAATTGACGCATTGAACGTTTGCAACATTGCAGCATTTATTCGAGACGGACGGAATTTTGGAAAGAATATCCCAAAATTGGTCTAAGCGGATGAAGCGTTTGAGGTGCAATCTTGGTCAGCATTTGCGCGAAATAATTTTCAAACATTAAATTATATGGTCCCTACTATCAAATTCAAACAAAGATTTCAAGAATTTTTATGAATTTTAGGTTTCTGTTTTACAAAATCACCCTTCAGATTCAGTTTATTCCTAGCGCTAAATGGCCATCAGTTGCTCTTTATATTGGGAATTAATTCCACTTGAATATTCTGCCCAGGACATTTCAGCAGTGTTTTCAATATTTAAAAAAAAATTATTATTTTGTTAGAATTAATTATTTAGAATTATTCAGAAATGTATAACCCAAGACTCATAAGACTTCAATTATTTATTTAAATTTTTAAAATTTCCTATTTTGATTTAATTTTTTTTTTGTTTAAATTTTCCTGTTTTTATACCCTACAACACTATGTGTTGGGGGTATTATAAGTTTGATTGGGCCAAAAATTATGTAACACCACGAAATATTGGTTTCCCACATAGGAAAGTATATATGGATCATCCTAGCTCGCCGAGCTGAGTCGATCTAGCTATGTATGTCCGTCCGTCTGTCCGTCTGTCCATGTTAATTTGTAATCACTCTACAGGTCGCAATTATGGCCCGATCTTCACGAAATTTGGAATGGAGGTCGGGGTTGGGCCAGAATAGAACCCTATTTCTTTTTGAGATGATCGCCAAATGTTTAGGGGTTGAAATGGACCGAATACTGAAAAAATGTCGGATTTTGGAGTAGCTATACAGGTCGCAATTATAGACCAATCGACGCGGAATTTCGCATGTAGCTAGAGTTTAGGACTTGGAAGAAGCCTACCAATTTGGGTGGTCATCGGATAATATTTAGCGGGTAAAATAGACCATATATTTTGTGTTGAAAAAATTCAAAATTTTTCATTAAACCGCGAATATTTTAAATCCCGGCGAAATCACAAAGCCATGACAAGGTTACTTCTGACCTTTACATTGATGTTAACATCCAACAAATCGGATATATAGCAAAATATGTGCGATATATATGTCTATCAAAGAAGATATGCTTGAAAGATCTCTTATATGTCGAGAACGGCTGAACTGATTTCAACAGTTCTCATTAATTCAAAATGGCCTCTTGGCAGGAAAGAAAAAACGTCTGAAAAATCGCATAAAAATATCTCTCTAAAGATGAAAATATTGATTTTGTAAAATTTTCTCATATTTTTTCAATTTTGTCATATTTTTGGCATATTTTCATTTTGAATTAAACATTTGGTAATATTTCTACAGCTAACAAAACTAAGTAGTTATGACATCATAATATCATATACAGATCGCATTTATGGCCCGATCCTTACGAAATTTTGCATGGGGATAAGATGAGGGTCAGCCTACTCTTTTTGGAGATGATCGCCATATATTTAGGGGTTGAAATGGACCAAAAAACTGCAAAATTGTAAGCAGGTCGTAATTATCGCCCGATCCTCACGCACATTTGAATGGGGGTTACCGGACATTGCAAAAGCCAAGCAGTTTTGGATGGCCATCCAAAAATATTCAATGTGTGAAATAGTTTGCCAACTTTTGTAGACAAAATACGAAAATGTCCATTCCAGAGACTTCTTCGAGAATTCACAAATACAGGAAAGACGCACTTCTGACTATTTCGTTAACTCTGATTTCGTTGAAGAATATAGTCAAATGTCTGTATCTCATATAGATGCGTTTCAGTCAAAAACCAATAATAAATGTTAATCTTTTGCCACTTCTAAGAAATTATAGGTCTTTGGGAAATATTGGTTCCAGATCTAGGAAGACCATTTAAGTGCAACATCTACCAATAAATTGGAAATGAGCAAATTAGTTTAAGTTGCTATTATTCGAAAATTAGAGAACGAAACCTGATGGTTTTCATTTATTATCTGTCACAATATCTTGTGGAATTCTTTCGAGTATCTCGCCTATATAAACTGTATCGTTTATTATAGTGTTGTAGGGTATTCAACGGTCGGCCCCGCTCGACTGTAGCCTTTGCTAACTTGTTTTAATATATTTTAAGTATATTCATCATAAGTTTTTCCCATTTTTTTCGAATCACATTCATCACATTCATTTTTCATATGTAACTTTTGAGACCTTCAATCATAAATACAACATTTTGCACAAGTATTGTAATTTTTATTCCTATACTTCAAATTCTTTTTGATTTAATCACTTTTTTTTAAATATAATTAATAATTTCAATGCAAATTTATGAATTTTTCACTCTTAACCTGGGTCACACTTTAATAACACTTTTCTTCTTCTTCTTCGGCTTCTTCTTCTTACTGGGCTAAACAAAAAAATGAAAGTTCTTTCGTTTTTTTATTACTTTTCGTTTCAAACCTTTTTTTTTTAAAGGAACGACAATAAAACTTGTGAAAAAATTATTTTGCGATTTCTCCAGTTAAATACACATAACCGAGATTTCTTCAATTTAAATTCGATTTATTTATTTAACACATTTTTTTAAGAAATTATTTTGTGAAAACTTCTGCTTCCGAGTGGCAAAATTGGTGGTTATTTGTTGTAAAGAAAGGCCCACAACCATCAAAAAATAAACAAACAACGAGAAGACGAAGCAAAAACTACACGAAAATAACAATAACGATATGAAGACAACGGCGACGACAGTGACGGTTGGCGATGTGAACGACAGACGTTGGTATAATGAAATGAAGTGAAATGAAATTCAGAAACATCAGCCATCAGAGACAGCAGCAGCAGCAGCACCAGCTTCCGCAACTCTGTAAACGACGTTAATCGCGTCCCGGTGTGAGCGAAAGCAACAACAAATCATGGCTAAATTAAGTACAACAATACATGATCAACGCCAGAAACTACATTTCCCCCCTTTCCCTCTGCTAAGAACTTCAGCCATTGAAAGCAAACTATGGAAAAAATATTCAAAGCATTAGCCAGACATGCAAAGAAAAAGAAGTGTTGTTTCAACAGCAGAAGCAGCAGCAGCAACCAGCAACAATACAAGAACCGTACCATCATCATCAACAAAGCCAAGGTATTGGAAGAGTAAGCAAACCAACCAAACAACAACATTTGCACATTCTCCTCCCTATGATTCCCTCTCCATTTACTCCTCTCTCTCACACACACTAATCAGCAATAAAAAATAATAATATCCAACAAAACGCACTCGCGCTCTCCTCTAGCTTGCGGTGGTTTATCCCTTCTTCTTCTTCTTCGTCGTCGTCGACGACTTCAACATATTCCAAACTATCCACAAAAACCATTGGAGAAATTAAAACCTCAAGAAAAAGAAGCAAAACAACAAGAATTAAAGATGAAAAAAGAATTGGAGAATAACATAAAGCTTAAGCATGG